GCTGAAAATCCTGGAGCATCGCCAGCAGAGGATCGCTGAGGTCCGAGCCAAGTACGAGTGGCTGATGAAGGAGCTGGAGACCACCAAGCAGTACCTCATGCTGGACCCCAACAAGTGGCTCAGTGAATGTAAGGGTCCTGCTGGGGCTGCCTGGCCAGGCACCTGCCTCGGGTCCCTGTCCCAGCGGCCATGCCCCCAGTGACACAGGGAGGGAGCAGGCCTGCTCTCCTGGGGGAAGACAGAAGGCCTGGGGGGTCAGTAAAGAAGAGGGCCAGCTATGGCTACTAGGGGGTGATTTCTGGTGTGTCTTAGTCCAAAGCACCTGAAAGTGAGACTACCCCTGCCACCACCCATCTTACATGCAGCTGAAGACCACTCAGTTCTGTTAGAAATCTGATCCTTGCCCAGAAAATCACCCTGCTCATCTCCCCTGAAATAGACCTTGACTTTAGAAAGCTCCTAATTGCATAGAAGGCACAATCCTAGGAAAGCCTCCTGGGGAAGGCAGAAAAAGCAAGAGAAATTTTTTTTTTCCAAGGGAGGATGATAACAGCCACGGTATTATTTCCATTTACTAGAAAGTCCAGGATGACAGTAACTGCCTGCTAATAATTCAGGACAATTTTCTTCTCCCAGAAAGACAGATTCAGTTGTCTATTATTTATTTGTTCCTAACCATTCCATTTCTAAAAAAAAAAATAAAGCTGAAATCCCATCCCAGCCACTGCAATGACACGGGAGTCGATGCTGGTAGCCATTAAACATGGAATCCAAGCCATCCCTGCCAAAGGTCTCTCCTTTCCTCCCTCCCTCCCTCGGCCAGTGCTGCCCCCCTGCAGTCCCCTACCACATCTGGTCATCTGTTCCTTGTCACCGTACAGAGTGCACAGGTGGATTCAGGGAGGATGCTGGGTAGAAGAGAAAATGGCAGGGGGTTCTCATCCTCCCACCTGGGCCCTGCTCCTTGGAATAGTGTGCAGCCATGCCATCTCAGCTGAGACCCTGATGGTTCAGTCGTGTGACTGGAGCCAGCCTGGGGAGCATCTTGCTGCGGATTGCTGCCGCATGCCTCGTAACACTCAGTCATATAGACCTGTTCTGGTTGCTGGCTTTCCCACCTGGCAGCTCTGTGATCTTGGTTAAGATGCTTGACCTCTCTGAGCCTTCCTTTCCTTAATTCTAACACAGAAAGAGTAGCACTGCCTAGTTCACACGGCAGAACAGAAATGGTGCCGTTGAAGAGGTGCTTACCATGGTTCTTGGCCATGATGGGAGCTCAGCGTCTGGTTGTCGTTAGTGCAGCTGTCCCGGAGTTCAGGTTAGCAGGAGGGCACTTCAGCACACTCATGGCAAGTAAGTTGAAAGATCAGCTCATTCCTATGCAGAAACACAAGCCACGCTGCTGAAATCTAGGCCAAGAACTATTAAACAAAATTCATGGAAAATGTGTACTGCAACAGAGCCACGTGTAGATTTCAGAGATGTTTATGTCAAAGTAAACACCATTTCATCCCATCTCCCCTGAAGAGGCTTTGTAGGTGTTTGTGGCCAGTATTGCCTTTGTGCCCACTGGTGTGATGATTGGCATGTCAGAGTCTCTTGAGAGATCTGGGCAAAGGTGTGAATTCTGCCTTTGAGGTCGTCTGCACCCAAGGCATGAGTACAGTAGACAAGCAGGGGATGAGGCCACCAGCTAAGAGCTGGCCACGGCATAAACCCAGGCCTGCCGTTCAGTTCCCTACCACTACGGACACCCTTGTCTCATCTTACATGAGCCCCTGACAGCTCAGGATCCCAGGGCAGCCCCAGGGGCACATTCCCCTTAGTTTATGCTATTCTCATTAAGAATGCATTTTATTGGAGAGCCAGATGCCCAAAGCACTGGAAAATTACCTTCATCTTAGGAAGTTGTAGCGGCGTTTCCCAGGCTGTCATTCTTGCCTTTGGACTTGTCAAGAATCTGGGATTTTCTGACGATCAGGAGAGAGGGAACAAACAGAAAGGCTATGTGAAAAAGGGAAGGCACACTTATTTAAGATGAACTGGGAAAAAACACACACATACCAGGTGTGGGTAGAATCCAAGAGGCTGCTGGCCACCTGTTCTCTCTGGGTAATGGGCACAGATAGCTGTGTACTTGGGGTGCACTTGGATTCCTAGGATTGGTTCAAGGTGACCTGTGAACCTATCCCTGATGGGGAGCCTCCTGTGTCTCCTGAAAGTTAGGTGGCTGCAGCAGCCTTGGACCCCTTGTAACTGAGCTCTTGGGACTCCCATCGTCAGGGATGCTGAGCATGAAGGCATGGTGTCCAGCCCCTGTGTCTTCGGAAGCAAGCAGTCTTCCTTCTTCGCACTGAGTTAGTTTCTCATCATCATCGTCCTGCTTCCTGAGCAAGCCGTGAGGAGGCAAGGCTGCACAAGGCAGCACCGAGGCAAGGAGGTCAGATTTCTTACTGAGGTGTGCAGGGCAGAACCACTTCCATGTGAGAAGACAGAGGTATGACATCTCACTTGGGCAAGACCCCTCAAAAAATGCAGCCTGAAGAGCAACACGCTTTACGTAGAGTGAGGAATAATTTCACAAACTCTGCAATAGAGATGGCCGCAGCAGGTGGTGGGCAGCAGACATGCTGAAGGTCAGGCCGAAGAGAACAGGCAAGGCTGCCTCCTGCAGGCCTCAGGGGCGGTCTGGGTGAGCGGGTGGGGTGGGAGAGGACCGTCCCTCCCATACTTGTCCCACACCCCCATCCGGGTCCTCCTCTTTTTGCAGTCGACCTGGAACAGGTGTTGGAGCTGGATTCCCTGGAATACCTGGAGGCACTCGAGTGCGTGACGGAGCGCCTGGAGAGCCGCGTCAACTTCTGCAAGGCCCATCTCATGATGATCACCTGCTTTGACATTACCTCCAGGCGCCGGTAAAGACAGCCTGGTGCTGCCTGGCACTCATGGGCCAGCACCCTTCCCCGGCACTGATGGCGCTCAGAGACTATGGAATGAGAATGAAGGTCGGTGGCAAGTGTGGAGTGAGTGGCGCGGAAAGGCCAAGTTTCTTTCGTTTCCTGTAGGAAAGCTGCAAACACTAAACACGCAGAGAAGGAGAGGATGACGGGAAGCCCAAGGGACGTGGAAGCCCCCAACTCCCCCCCAAGACTGAACAAACACTTCGTGGAACTCCAGAGAACTTGTCTGTACATAAGAACTGCTAGCAAAAAAAGGAGCTCACTTGTCTTGCTTCTGGGAGGAAAGGGGAGGGTGGTAGGATTGCTGTGGAAAGCGGGAAGAAAAACGAAACAAAAAAGAAACCAGACTCCCCAGAATGATTGATTAAGTGCCTTGCAAATCTTTATGATTATCCAAACATTTATGTTCATACTTTTCTCATGTACAGATGGTGCTAGTCAAGATGAAAACAACAAAACAAAACAAAAAAATCACACACATTTTTGAGATGTATTTACAGCTCGTTTTTCTCTTGGTGTTTGATCCTGTTTCTGACTTGCTGTTTCTAAAGAAGTTGTGTTTGTAGAGATATTTCCTATCCAGTACTGCATCTGAATAAATGTCCACTGTCTTTTATGGCTCTTCTGGTTAAGGCCACTCAAACGGAATGTAGAGACTTAGTTGCCACAGACGGTGTGTGTCTCCAAAGACAGCTTGGAGCAGCAGGTTCCACCCTGTGTCATCTCCTGTCAGTGACAGGTCAGGCACACTGTGAGGGCTGACCATGGTAATCTGCTTCACAGTGTGGAGAGGAGACAGCCTGCAGCTGGAAGGGATGCAGACTCCTCTGGGACCCACTTTCTCCTCACGGGTTGGCCAACTGGCTGTTCCTTCTCTCCTTTCTCCACAAATCCAGGGGTTTCATGGTTCTCATAGACCTTTCTCCCAATTGTTTTTATTCCAAAGATTCTGGATTGGCAGCCTGAACCAGTTTAGTGGAGCCAAATACCTATCTCCTGGTTTTGGGACTTGATGAGAGCAGTGGCTTTCCCCCATTACACCTGCGTGGGCATGTGTTATCAAAGTACAGGGGCACCAGCATTGTCAGTCCAGAGCAAGAAAGCTACTAGAGTATACATGTCTTTTCTTTTGTTCTGAATCCCTGCTTCAAAGCAAAAGCAACAAGTGCAGTTCTCCCATGCCCAGAGCCTCCATGCCAACAAGGGCCGAGGTTGGCTCCCTCAACCCTAGCATCTCAAGGGACAGTGTGGTTCTTTATACTGACATCCCAGAACCCAGTGTCTACTGAGGATGCATTTCCAAGTCTTGGTACAAACAAACTTAGGCCCTTTCTCAAATTGCAGCAAATGCCTGGGCTTTCTATGCCTATTATAGTGTAGCATGATCCAAGAATCTTCTCAGTGTCTCTGGGAGGCACCCAGGAGGCCTGTGGGGAGCTGGGGCATGCCATCCCCGTGGGTGCAGGTGCTTGGGGGACTCATAGGCTGTTCTCAGATGGATCACTTCTCACTCTGTGCATCCCTCAACATTAGCAAATAAGTAACCTTGGGGAACAGGGCCTCCCCCTGCTCCTCAACCCTAACACCTTTTGCAGGACAGCCCTCCACCTCTGGACCCACATCTGGCCTCCACAACCTTTGGGTAACAGGGATTCATTGCCAATATTCTTGCAGGTTTCTGAACCCAGAAGGCTGCCAATCCTTTAAGTCTGCCATTTGTCATTCATTTTTAGTTGGGAGTCTGAACTATATCACTTCAGGCACAGCTGTTAGCTTGTGGATTTCCAAGGGTGAGTAACCTTTGGTTTTCTGGTTGGAAACTGACTCAGGACATCAGTCATCAGGGAGCTTAGCTTTTGGGGGAGTTACCGTCTTGCTGCACCGACTTCTGCAGCAGCCCAACACGGGGCCTGGGGTCTCCTCCAGTCGGAGACCATGTAGGAACAGCTGCCGGGAATTTAACTTCCCATGTATGGCCTCTCTCTTAGGGTGTGGTCACCAGCTTGCCTCCCACCAAAACCCACTCTTACACATGTACATTTTGTATGTGCCCATCGACTTTTTGATAAATAGTTGAAGGACACCAAGAGTTACCTTATCAAGTTAGGATGCTACCATGTGTGACATCTCTTAAGCAGGGGTCAGTGTCATAGCAGTGCAATGTCAGCATCCCATATTGGAGTTCTTGACCAAGTCCTGGCCAGGCTGTTCCACATCTAGTCCACTCCTGATGTGCCTGGGAAGGCAATAGAAGATGGCCCAAGACCTTTGGCTGTAATCTTGAAACAAAAACAAAAATTGTTGACCATGGTATAGGAGAGCAACTTTGCAAAGATGTTGTCCATTTTTTTTAAAAAAAAAAACCTAAGTAAGCTACAAACATCAAAATCACTAGGTTTGGATATTTTTTTTTAAATGTGAAAAAAATCCCATATGCTATGCTATGCTATGCTGTGCTCAGTCTTGATCATGGTCTGTAGGCACACAGGGAGCAGTTTTGGCCCAGTAACTGAGGAATACCTCACCAGTGACACAGTGTGGGGGTCTGGACAGGTGACTCAAGCAGGCACAGAGGATGTCAACTATTTCCACTTCATTATCCTCAAACAAAAGGACCAGAAAGCCATTCATGTGAAATCAACACTGAGACCTGCTCTTCCCACCACCTCCCGGACCAAGGCCCTGCTCCAGAGGGGCTACAGGGGGAGGGACCTATCAGCAGCTGAGCAAAACTAAGATCTCAACAGGGAGGCTGCCATGCTGCTTCCTCGGGCTGCATTTCCTGCCACTGACTGCTGTGAGGGGAGCTGCAGTCGGCTCTTGGTCCCCACCTGTGATCCAAAACCTTTGATCTTCCTGTCCTTGAATTCCCCTCCCTGTCATGAGGAAGCTGCCTGTAACTTTCATCTCTTGTAGAGTGGAAATTATAACACCCTGCCTGTTGTTTTATCTTCGATTGCTATTCTGAGCATGCCATGGTTCTTGTATTGACACAGGTGGGAATCCTCCAAGGACCCCAGGGAAGGAAGGGGCTCCTCAGCTTAAAGCTAGGATAAAAAAAATATTAAAACCCACAGAAATCAGTGTGGGGGACGTGGCCCTGTTGGTGATAAATTAGCCATGAGCTGGAAGTCTCCTATGTTCTTGTGCAGTGGCAGCGACAACTGCAGTCAAAGACCAGCTGGGGGGGAGGACTATGACATCTTACACCATCTTACATGTACCAGCCATGTGCTAACTGCATCTGTTTGCATTCAAGAGCTGAACCAGAAACACAGGTGTGCCCACGTGAGTGTATAGCTCACGTCCTTGTAAACCAAAGGAAGCCACACATCAGCAACTGCTTACTCCCCAAGCCCTCATGCTGGGTGTTACTATTCGGAAGCAGTTGTCTGACCCTGACGTCATCCAACAGAAGGCAAGGCTGCCAAGAGCCCGGACAGTTCATTGCAGGCACAGTTGTCTGTGCCACCATCCTCTGCTGATCTATAGTCTAATACTCCAAAATTATGGTGCATGGAATGTTTTCAGGTTTCTTATTCCAGAACGGGATGTCAAAGAGACTGCTAGAGAGGAGTTCATCTCCAAACTGAAAACGTTTCCTGCATCCGCTCATTGGTCCTTCTGCTGGATGTGATGCCACTCCATGAACGTACACTCACAGCATTTCATCTCCGTAAAGGCAGCATGTCTCACAGCCCCAAATGGCTATTATTTGATGCTGATTCAACATCCTTTGCCATTGTCCCTGTTGCTACCTGGGCAACGTTTCCTGGCTTTCCAGGCTGTGAGGGACAATCTTCGAGGCTACTTCCCATCTGCGAGGGGAGAAGAGGTCAGCACAGCCCACTGTGTCTGTTCTAAGTTTGGTTTCATGGATACTGCCAGTGTCAGGTGTAAAATGTCGGGGAGAATGAAGGGGAGGTAGGGGGCAGAAATATACTGTTCTTCTCTATCCTCTTCCAGCAAATATTTGCCAACATTCATGGGTAAGGGACTCGTGCATTGTGTCCCTTAGCAAACTTCAACATTGCTCAACTATAAACTGGTCATTATTCCCATAGTAATAAAAGCATAATTCTAGGCCAGAAGCTATTGTAACAGCTCATCCTTTCAAAAACATGTTTGGAAAATTGCTGGAAGCTAATTTGTCCAACTGTAAACAAACATGTTCTGCTTTTGGGTGGCCCTACTCAGAACCTGGTGTGATGGCATGATACTGGGCCCCAAAGGGTGCTTGAGGCAACACGAAGCCATTCGCACACTTAAACATAGTCATTCCCAGTGTCTGCATGCGTGTAGGGGAGTCCTGAGATCCAGCACTTACACCCCCATTTGAGGTATGCATAGAAGTAATGACCTTCAAACTAAAAGCAGCCTACTCCTTCAGTCCTGGTGCAGCTGCCATCCCACCTCAACATAGTGCATGGAAGAAGTTCTAGTAACCAGGGTGTTGGTTTCTAGCATTGCTGGTGGTTTTGAACTTACCCGACCCTCATGTTGGGAATATTGTGCTGAAGTGTAAGTCCGGGGATTCTGTAGCTGTTTCATCTGTGGGTTTCTCTGTCAGCGAAGATGTAGACTGTGAAAGGGAAAGATAAGTCGTCAGGAGAACCGGGATTAGAGTCCAGTCCTCTGAGGGTGGGCTTAGTTCACAGTCTGAGCTGTTTGTATAGGACACAGCCAAGGGAAAGATACCTTTGTTTTGAATGTGATGATGATGGCCTTGGAGACTCACAGACCTGAGTGAAATGATGCTGCAGACCCCTCCTGCTGGCTGAACCTTATATCCCTGAGCAAAGTGCCGGTGCCATTAGCTTCCTACTAAAGGGGTAGGGGAAACAATTAGAGGTCATTACCTTGGATATAGAAATAATCACTTTTTTTTTTTTCGCTCCTGGAAAACCCAAAGTATTTAGTGATTCTTACAGCCCACAATAACACTTCAGGCATCTCTGTCCGCCTCACTTAACCCTTGAGAGGCAGGGAGGGGCTCAGGTCCTAGTCTTATCTCAGAGGCAACTAAGCTGTTGTCAGGCCTGCTTCCACCAAGAGTTACACAACCTTGGGCAAGTCACTTCTCAGCTGGGTCTCAGGCTCCCCGGTGAAATACTGAGAGTTTCTGGAAACTGCCTTTGTGCAATAGGGTATAGAGGAAATGGTATACCTGAGAGGAGGTGCTTTGAAGATGCTACAGTGGGCTGTGGGAGCTGGGAAGAAGCGCTTCTAGAGGAAGAACTTGAAGCTGGCAAGCACAACTGGATCAAAGTCACCAGGCAGTTTTCCAGCAGAACTGGGTTTGTGTCCGCCATCTCTGACTCTTCCCATCAGGTTCTGTTGCACGAGGAGGGCTATGTACCTGGACACACCCATCACTCCTCTGTACATGTGTACGTGTATGTGTGTGTACGTGTGTGTGTGTGTGTGTGTGTGTGTGTGTGTGTGTGTGTGGATGAGTGTGTATAGCAGGCATGTGACATGGTGGGAGAGCATAGGACAGAATCCAGTCCCAGCGGGAGTCCTGTGGCCTTAGGTCCCTGACCTAACTTCTCTGGAACTCGGTTTTGTCATCTCTAAAATGAGGACATTGTGCTACACGATCTTTGTGGTTCAAGTGCTAGTCCTACAGTTCCATGATGAGTAATGTATGTATGTATGTATATAGAAATATGCTTATCTGTAGAAATGGGTCCCTCTGAACCTGAGACAAGGCCTGCCCAAGTGCATTTACTGTGTCTGCAACACAAATTCACAAGTTCATAAAATCTTGTTTTCAAAGTCAATGGTAGTACTTAAAGTCATTGTTTTAAACCCACTGGTTAGTGGGTAGAAAATTGGTGCTGCTTGAAAAATTCTTAGTTGATAAACATTTGCTATTGAACTTTTACAAAAATAAAGTTCATTTGTCAAAATCAGAAATTCGACACTCTGTTACTTAGGCAGGTCCCAGCAGCCTGTTGGCAGGCTGGTTTTTGTGTGTGGCCCTTCACATAGCTCTATAAAAGTTAGCTGTTGGCTTGATCATGATAATTATGAACAGCCTATCTGGAGAACAGTCTAGAAAAGAGTTAAAGTTCTCATAAGCAGGCGACATGACTCCATTAAGCTGTGTGCCATTTCCGGTGTGAAGACATTGTTTGCTGACTACGATCTCTGACTTTTGTGGCATATGAGGTGTAAAATGTTGTCAAAAAGAAACTGGTGTTTAAAAAGAATCAAACTATGGTGGCATTAAATGTTCACTCTGATTCTACCCAGACTCCTGACTTCCTCTCTATGCGGTTTATCTTTCTGTGTGTTGGGAGCAAGCAATTCAAACCAGAGGAGGCAGGGGACCCACCCTAGAGCAACATCTCTGCCTGGGTCTCCCACCCCTGGGTCCCTCTAGGGCCTCCCCTGTGCAGTGCAGGTTCTGGAGCTTCACTAGGAGTGGGAGGGGATGGGGCTTCATCCTGGAGTCCCTGGAATGGTCCTAGGACATCCGTGTGTGGGTGAACGCACTTGGAAAGTATCAAGAAGTTGGTTCTACAGATTCTCCCTCCCTCCAATGCCTGGAGGGCTAATACAAAGTCAGGATCTCATTGACAGTTCCTGCTGATCACAGGGGCCTGGACACAAGGGCCCCTGTGATGCTGGGCAGGGCAGGTATGTGTGGGTTGGTGGGGTGGTGGGGGGCAAGCTTCCCTGCACCAAAGACAGCTTCCCTGGGCAGCCAATGAGGATGGCGCCATGTTCCATCCCATCAACTGAGGGCACAGGCTAGGGTGGGCCCCTCAAAGCAGGCACGCACACTTTCTTCCTGCCGGAGTCCTGTTTGGAATCCTCACCCACTGCTGTTTTAGCTTGCCTGGACCAGCTCCCTGCTTGCTTCTCTCCAAATCCTACAGAAGACTTTTCTGGGTTCCCTTGGATTATCTGAGCAGAAACCCCAGAGCATAAACGTTTTCTAGAAGAAGTGCCTATAAGGGTAAAACTGCAGATGCTTGCCCCCTGATCATTGCCTGGGAGAAGACAGCATAGGAAGGTGGTTTCTAGGAAGGTTGCCATTTGGCTGTCCCTCCCAGCAGACACCTCCATGGCTTGGTTCTCTGAAGGTCTGGCATTGCCTATGGCACCTACATATTTCGCATTGGAGCCCCTCTTCTCTGAAAAAGCTGGTAGGGGGGAATATGTGTGGTCACCAGAGGTAACTTCTTAGCAGGAAAAGATCTATCCAAACATGCCATCTTGGGTGTATTTGTCCGAACGACTGAATTCTCAAAGCTGTTATTGCTATTTTATCTTCATCCTTTCTGGTCTTGCCCTTTCATCTCAGAGAGAACATTAGGCAGCCTATACAGGACCTCCTGATGACCACAGTGCCACACTGCACTCATGGAGGTGCCCCAGCATAGAAGGAGCATATAAACAAAGTAAAGTAAGCCCTTTGTCCTGCACTGCAGTGGATATTTCTGCTTCCCATTCAGTGTCTTGCTCCTCTTGTTGAAGACAGTGTTTCTGGGAAACCCTCGTAAGTATACACAGTACTTGCCCTGGAAATGCACATACCTGCCCGTGCCTGGGGTGTTCCTGGAGTTATAAGGCTCTCTTTGTTCTGGATCCCAGCAACTAGAAGAGAACCTAGAACATTGTGGGTGTGGTCTCTCCCACCTAAATGGATGCATGAACAAGTCAGCCAGCGTTGGAGGGGAAAGAGGCAACAGGCAAAACCTGGGCAGCAGTCAATGGGCATGGCAGGCTGCCTTAACTAAAGGACCAGAGGTCAACCTGTGCAAATCCTTCGCTAGGATTCAGGTCCCAATTCACAGTGGAAGAGGGCCACCAAGGCCACATGCAGCCAGATCCATGCTCCTGGTGTATTATATACACAACTTTACCTTCTCAGCTGCTCATCAGCCTTGGCTGTTAGACCTCAGCATCTTTCTCTCTAAAACAGCAATGTGCAAACACACAGATTCCTGCTCAATATTTCTAATTACTGAACAAACCTCTCCGGAGTATGTATTGGTCTGTTCCAGACACTTGTGGTTATTGATGGATAAAAGAGATTCTGGGCTGCAAGAATCAGTCTAGTGTACACCCAGAAGACCCAGCACATCACACAAACCTGCTCCCCTGCCAGGCAAGGGGAAGGCTTTTCCCTACCAGTCTCCCACTAATCTCCTGTCAGTATTCTTCTCTCCCAGTCAGGCTTTACGCCAGTCTGTACCAATGCAAGGGTCTTCCAAGGCACAATGTTGACAGGGTAGGGAGGCAGGAGGAAGGAGAGGACAATGATTGGTCCCTTACCTGGGAAGATCTCCCAGGGGCCACCAGGCTGGCCCTGAGGTAGCTCCCGTGCTTTGGGTTTTCCTGTGTGCGGTATGTCCTTTGTTTCATTCTGAAATCAGTACAGTAGCTCTTGCTCATCCCATTCTTTTTCTCCCAGTGGATCCCTGGTTTCCAGATACAGGACTCACAAACCTGTGCATGCTCAGAAGGAAAAACTCTTAAAAACTTTACAACAGGCCACAGGGATCCAAGGTGCCTGAGGATGCAGGGAAAGAAAAACATTTCTATTTTAAAAAAATGGTTTGTGAAAAGCTGAAAACTAGAAAAATAAAAGTACTTTTACCCCAGAGAGAAGCACTGTTATTTTTTACACACATTTTCCCGTCCCTTTAATAATCTTCCCATGCAGACTGCTCAGGCGGTCCCTTGCTTTGACCACACATGCCGTCACACGGATCTGCCCATCTTTGTACTACTGTTGTCCTTGCTAGACTTCAGGCGGCTTCTACCTTGTTGCTATTATCACACTGTAATAAACACATTGGACATAAATCTCCCTATTCTTTGATAAGTCCCTGAGGATAAATTTCCAGAGGTGAAATAAACAGGAGGATAAAACAGAAGGCATTTAACATACTCCAGGACTTCCCACCTCAAAGAATGATCGGAAGCTTTTTCCGATGACCCCAGATAGTCACTTCTTCCCCTGCAAATTTCTTTTCTCTTAAAAAAATTATTTATTTGAAGCTCAGAGTTGAGAGAGAGAGAAAGAGAACTTTCTTCTGGTTTTCTTCCCAAAGTGGCTGTAATAGCCAGAGTTGAGCCAGATTGGAACCAAGATGAAGATCCAGGTCTTTTAATGGGGTTCAGGGGTCCAAGGACTTGGGCTGCCCTTCACTGCCTTCCCAGGCACATTAGTAGGGAGCTGCTCCAGAAGTGGAGCAGTCAGGCCATGAACCAGCACACTTGGGAAAGTGCTGGTGCTGCAGGCATCAGCTTTACCAACTACGCCACAGGGCTTGCCTCCTCTCTATAAAGTTCTATTCACTGATCCTCTTACTTATTATGCTGAATTCTTAGTATATACTTCCTATTAATGTGTGTATGTCTCAGAATATTAAGCTTCTGTGCAGCAGAGGCTCTTTTGCATGATACTTCTTGGTCAGCACAGTGCTAGGCACCAAGCTGGGCAAAAGCACAGAGAGCTGGGAGAATGCCTACCAAAGGAAGCGAATTATTCTCATAAAAAGGGGATAAGTCGATGCATTCTTGACCTGCTTCCCTGGGGATTCTGATACACATCTTGGAGTGCCAAAGTTGGGGTCCTGGCTGGACAACTGCAACCCATAGGTGACTTTGAGGCCTAATCCGTGAGGCCTAGCCTACACCTGGACTTTGTTGGAGGCTGAAAGTTAACATTCTGTGTAAGAGTGTATTCAAAGCTGGCCAGTGCTCAGCAGGTGGAAGGCGATGGTGCTGTAGTCTGCTGCTACTACAACAGAATATGCCCAACTGGGTCTTTTATAAACCAGAGGTATTTGGCTCAAGACTCTAGGGCCAGGGAGGTCTGAGACATGGCACCAGAATCTGAAAAAAGTCATCCTTTGGTGGAAGGCAAAGGGAGAAGCGAGCATGGGCAAGACAGAAGAGAATGTAGGAACCACGGGACAGATGGTGGTGGCCTTCATCCTTCCATCCCAACAACCCGTATGCCTCTCATGGTGCTCACCTCCCAAGCCCATCATGGTGGCCACAGCACTTCCATGTTTATTCTAAATTCTAGAGAACATTCTAAAATGGGCAGGTAGGGTCA